TCCCCACTCATCCCCCACTCATCCCCCACTCATCCCCACTCATCCCCCACCTCATCCCCCACTCATCCCACTCATCCCCCACTCATCCCCCACTCATCCCCCACTCATTCCCCCCACTCATCCCCCACTCATCCCCCTCATCCCCCACTAGCCCCCACTCATCCCCCACTCATCCCCACTCATCCCCACTCATCCCCCACTCATCCCCACTCATCCCCCACTCATCCCCCACTCATCCCCCACTCATCCCCCACTCATCCCCCACTCATCCCCCACTCATCCCCCACTCATCCCCCGCTCATCCCCCACTCATCCCCCACTCATCCCCCACTCATCCCCCACTCATCCCCCCACCCCTCCTCCCCCACTCATCCCCCACTCATCCCCCACTCATCCCCCACTCATCCCCCACTCATCCCCACTCATCCCCCACTCATCCCCCCACTCATCCCCCACTCATCATCCCCCTCCTCCCCCACTCATCCCCCACTCATCCCCCACTCATCCCCCCACTCATCCCCCACTCATCCCCCACTCATCCCCCACTCATCCCCCACTCATCCCCCACTCATCCCCCACTCATCCCCCACTCATCCCCCACTCATCCCCCACTCATCCCCCACTCATCCCCCACTCATCCCCACTCATCCCCCACTCATCCCCCACTCATCCCCCACTCATCCCCCCACTCATCCCCCACTCATCCCCACTCATCCCCCACTCATCCCCCACTCATCCCCACTCATCCCCCACTCATCCCCCTCTCCTCCCCCACTCATCCCCCACTCATCCCCCACTCATCCCCCACTCATCCCCCACTCATCCCCCACTCATCCCCCACTCATCCCCCACTCATCCCCCACTCATCCCCCACTCATCCCCCACTCATCCCCCACTCATCCCCCACTCATCCCCCACTCATCCCCCACTCATCCCCCCACTCATCCCCCACTCATCCCCCACTCATCCCCCACTCATCCCCCACTCATCCCCCACTCATCCCCCCACTCATCCCCCACTCATCCCCCCACTCATCCCCCACTCATCCCCCACTCATCCCCCACTCATCCCCCACTCATCCCCCACTCATCCCCCACTTCATCCCTACCACTCATCCCCCACTCATCCCCCCACTCATCCCCCACTCATCCCCCAATCATCCCCCACTCATCCCCCACTCATCCCCACTCATCCCCCACTCATCCCCCACTCATCCCCCACTCATCCCCCACTCATCCCCCACTCATCCCCCACTCATCCCCCACTCATCCCCCACTCATCCCCCACTCATCCCCCACTCCTCCCCCACTCATCCCCCACTCATCCCCCACTCATCCCCCACTCATCCCCCACTCATCCCCCACTCATCCCCCACTCATCCCCCACTCATCCCCCACTCATCCCCCACTCATCCCCCACTCATCCCCACTCATCCCCCACTCATCCCCCACTCATCCCCACTCATCCCCCACTCATCCCCACTCATCCCCTCTCATCCTCTCATCCCCTCTCATCCCCCACTCATCCCCCACTCATCCCCCACGTGTCTCCCCTCTCATCCCCCTCTCATCCCCCACTCATCCCCCTCTCATCCCCCACTCATCCCCCACTCATCCCCCACTCATCCCCCACGTGTCTCCCCTCTCATCCCCCTCTCATCCCCCTCTCATCCCCCACTCATCCCCCACTCATCCTCCTCTCATCCCCCACTCATCCCCCTCTCATCCCCCACTCATCCCCCTCTCATCCCCCACTCATCCCCCACTCATCCCTCTCTCATCCCCCACTCATCCCCCACTCATCCCCCACTCATCCTCCTCTCATCCCCCACTCATCCCTCTCTCATCCCCCACGTGTCTCCCCTCTCATCCCCCACTCATCCCCCACTCATCCTCCTCTCATCCCCCACTCATCCTCCTCTCATCCCCCTCTCATCCCCCTCTCATCCCCCTCTCATCCCCCTCTCATCCCCCACTCATCCCCCACTCATCCCCCACTCATCCCCCTCTCATCCCCCTCTCATCCCCCACTCATCCCCCTCTCATCCCCCTCTCATCCCGCCCACCACCGCCACCCCACAGGCGTGGGCCATCTTCAAGGGCAAGTACCGGGCTGGCGAGGACCGTGCTGATGCGAGCACGTGGAAGACGCGGCTCCGCTGCGCCCTCAACAAGAGTCCGGACTTCGAGGAGCTGAGCGACCGCAGCCAGACGGCGAGCAGCGAGGCCTTCAAGGTGTACCGCATTCTGCCCGAGGAGAGCACCACGCGATGTGAGTGTGTCTGTGTGTGTCTCACGACCAGTAGTGTGTCTCTGTGTGTCTCTGTGTGTCTCACTACCAGTAGTGTGTCTCTGTGTGTCTCACGACCAGTAGTGTGTCTCTGTGTGTCTCTGTGTGTCTCACGACCAGTAGTGTGTCTCTGTGTGTCTCTGTGTGTCTCACTGTCAGTAGTGTGTCTCTGTGTGTCTGTGTGTGTCTCACGACCAGTAGTGTGTCTCTGTGTGTCTCTGTGTGTCTCACTACCAGTAGTGTGTCTCTGTGTGTCTCACGACCAGTAGTGTGTCTCTGTGTGTCTCTGTGTGTCTCACGACCAGTAGTGTGTCTCTGTGTGTCTCTGTGTGTCTCACTGTCAGTAGTGTGTCTCTGTGTGTCTTTGTGTGTCTCACGACCAGTAGTGTGTCTCTGTGTGTCTCACTGTCAGTAGTGTGTCTGTGTGTGTCTCTGTGTGTCTCACTATCAGTAGTGTGTCTCTGTGTGTCTCTGTGTGTCTCTGTGTGTCTCACGACCAGTAGTGTGTCTCGGTGTGTCTCTGTGTCTCACTACCTGTAGTGTGTCTCTGTGTGTCTCACTACCAGTAGTGTGTCTCTGTGTGTCTCTGTGTGTCTCACGACCAGTAGTGTGTCTCTGTGTGTCTCTGTGTGTCTCACTACCTGTAGTGTGTCTCTGTGTGTCTCACTACTAGTAGTGTGTCTCTGTGTGTCTCTGTGTCTCACTACCAGTAGTGTGTCTCTGTGTGTCTCACTGTCAGTAGTGTGTCTCTGTGTGTCTATGTGTGTCTCACTACCTGTAGTGTGTCTCTGTGTGTCTCACTACCAGTAGTGTGTCTGTGTGTCTCTGTGTGTCTCACTGTCAGTAGTGTGTCTGTGTGTGTCTCTGTGTGTCTCACTACCAGTAGTGTGTCTCTGTGTGTCTCACTGTCAGTAGTGTGTCTCTGTGTGTCTCTGTGTGTCTCACTGTCAATAGTGTGTCTCTGTGTGTCTCTGTGTGTCTCACTACCAGTAGTGTGTCTCTGTGTGTCTCACTGTCAGTAGTGTGTCTCTGTGTGTCTCTGTGTGTCTCTGTGTGTCTCACTGTCAGTAGTGTGTCTCTGTGTGTCTCTGTGTCTCACTACCAGTAGTGTGTCTCTGTGTCTCACTGTCAGTAGTGTGTCTGTGTGTCTCTCACTACCAGTAGTGTCTCTCTGTGTCTCTGTGTGTCTCACTGTCAGTAGTGTGTCTCTGTGTGTCTCTGTGTGTCTCACTACCAGTAGTGTGTCTCTGTGTGTCTCTGTGTGTCTCACTACCAGTAGTGTGTCTCTGTGTGTCTCTGTGTGTCTCACTGTCAGTAGTGTCTCTGTGTGTCTCACTACCAGTAGTGTGTCTCTGTGTGTCTCTGTGTGTCTCACTGTCAGTAGTGTCTCTGTGTGTCTCACTACCAGTAGTGTGTCTCTGTGTGTCTCACTGTCAGTAGTGTGTCTTTGTGTGTCTCTGGGGTGCGTTGCCATACAGCGCTGTCGAATGTATTCGCTCCCAAAAGAAAGGTGTCCGTGCTGATGGGATGCGTTTTTTTTTAAATATGTATCTCTTTACTTTAAATGTTTTCATGCTGAGAGACAAATATGGGAAGGAGGAGGAGGAGACATTGCGTATCAGTTTCGTGTTTCGATACCAAGGACACTGGGGGTCACCGCGGTGGCTAGGAGATGTTAACTCTCTCGCCTGGTACACGGGAGGTCGTGGGTTCGATCCCGACCCTGACGACTGCTGCTGTATATTGGAATGTGCGTGTCTCCTCTCTCTCCCCGTGGTCGCGTGGATTTGTCTCCGGGGTTTTCCACCTCCACATTTAGGATGGGCGTGAGCTCAGAGTCTTTGGCCTCTGCTCGAAATGTCCGCGTGATGAGCCGCTTTGTTGAGCTGTCATTTGTGGCCACGTCGCTTCTGATTAATATTTATACAGCTCAGTGGGCCTTTAGCTGGCGAAATTGAAATAGTTGATCAACGCTCGATTGTCCGTTGTCTTCACAGGTGACTGTGCCCGCAACAGCGATGAGATCATGCCACCGGAAGAACCTGAACAGAACCAGGAGGTACAGGTGCAACATCAACATCGTCGTCAACATCATCGTCGTCGTCATTGTCATCAACATCGACATCATCGTCGTCGTCGTCATTGACATCGTCATCGTCAACATTATCGTCATCATCATTCTCGTCGTCAGCATCATCATCATCATCGGCATCGTTACCGTCATCAAGATGATCATCGTTATCATCATCATTGTCGTCATCAGGACTCAATCATGAGGGTCCTGCTACATGGGGGCATGCGGGTGAGCGTGCGGGTGAGTTGGTGAGCGTGCGGGTGAGTTGGTGAGCATGTGGGGTCGCGTGCGGGTGAGTTGGTGAGCATGTGGGGTCGCGTGCGGGTGAGTTGGTGAGCATGCGGGTGAGTTGGTGAGCATGTGGGCTAGCGTGCGGGTGAGTTGGTGAGCATGCGGGTGAGTTGGTGAGCATGTGGGGTCGCGTGCGGGTGAGTTGGTGAGCATGCGGGTGAGTTGGTGAGCATGTGGGGTCGCGTGCAGGTGAGTTGGTGAGCATGCGGGTGAGTTGGTGAGCATGTGGGGTCGCGTGCGGGTGAGTTGGTGAGCATGCGGGTGAGTTGGTGAGCATGTGGGGTCGCGTGCAGGTGAGTTGGTGAGCATGCGGGTGAGTTGGTGAGCATGCGGGTGAGTTGGTGAGCATGTGGGGTCGCGTGCGGGTGAGTTGGTGAGCATGCGGGTGAGTTGGTGAGCATGTGGGGTCGCGTGCGGGTGAGTTGGTGAGCATGCGGGTGAGTTGGTGAGCATGTGGGCTAGCGTGCGGGTAAGTTGGTGAGCATGCGGGTGAGTTGGTGAGCATGTGGGCTAGCGTGCGGGTGAGTTGGTGAGCATGCGGGTGAGTTAGTGAGCATGTGGGGTCGCGTGTGGGTGAGTTGGTGAGCATGCGGGTGAGTTAGTGAGCATGTGGGGTCGCGTGTGGGTGAGTTGGTGAGTATGTAGGCTAGCTTCCGGGTGAGTTGGTGAGCATGCGGGTGAGTTGGTGAGTATGTGGGGTCGCGTGCGGGTGAGTTGGTGAGCATGCGGGTGAGTTGGTGAGCATGTGGGGTCGCGTGCGGGTGAGTTGGTGAGCATGCGGGTGAGTTGGTGAGCATGCGGGTGAGTTGGTGAGCATGTGGGGTCGCGTGCAGGTGAGTTGGTGAGCATGCGGGTGAGTTGGTGAGCATGTGGGGTCGCGTGCAGGTGAGTTGGTGAGCATGCGGGTGAGTTGGTGAGCATGCGGGTGAGTTGGTGAGCATGTGGGGTCGCGTGCGGGTGAGTTGGTGAGCATGCAGGTGAGTTGGTGAGCATGTGGGGTCGCGTGCGGGTGAGTTGGTGAGCATGCGGGTGAGTTGGTGAGCATGTGGGCTAGCGTGCGGGTGAGTTGGTGAGCATGCGGGTGAGTTGGTGAGCATGTGGGCTAGCGTGCGGGTGAGTTGGTGAGCATGCGGGTGAGTTAGTGAGCATGTGGGGTCGCGTGTGGGTGAGTTGGTGAGTATGTAGGCTAGCTTCCGGGTGAGTTGGTGAGCATGCGGGTGAGTTGGTGAGTATGTGGGGTCGCGTGCGGGTGAGTTGGTGAGCATGCGGGTGAGTTGGTGAGTATGTAGGCTAGCGTGCGGGTGAGTTGGTGAGCATGTGGGGTCGCGTGCGGGTGAGTTGGTGAGCATGCAGGTGAGTTGGTGAGCATGTGGGGTCGCGTGCGGGTGAGTTGGTGAGCATGCGGGTGAGTTGGTGAGCATGTGGGCTAGCGTGCGGGTGAGTTGGTGAGCATGCGGGTGAGTTGGTGAGCATGTGGGCTAGCGTGCGGGTGAGTTGGTGAGCATGCGGGTGAGTTAGTGAGCATGTGGGGTCGCGTGTGGGTGAGTTGGTGAGTATGTAGGCTAGCTTCCGGGTGAGTTGGTGAGCATGCGGGTGAGTTGGTGAGTATGTGGGGTCGCGTGCGGGTGAGTTGGTGAGCATGCGGGTGAGTTGGTGAGTATGTAGGCTAGCGTGCGGGTGAGTTGGTGAGTATGTGGGGTCACGTGCGGGTGAGTTGGTGAGCATGCGGGTGAGTTGGTGAGCATGTGGGCTAGCGTGCGGGTGAGTGGGACGCGGGGCTGTAAAGGCCCGAGTCCCGGGTGAGTTTGCGAAACGCCCTCCGGTCCAAAGTTCGCTTGCGTGGGGGGAGCCTAGGAGTCGTCACAATTTTCGGGGAACTCGTTAAAAAAAAAACAACAACTCACAAGCACGACGAGACGGCCGAGAGCGTCGCTCTGCCGATTCCCTCGGCTCTTCTCCAGGAGGCTCCTTCCCTGCCAAGTGATCTGCAGTACGGGGCGGGGGAAGGTGGGGGGAGGTGACGATTCCCACTCGCGGCCAAACACCGCTGGCGATTGTCTGAACCGCTGCTGACGCCTCCGCTGCGTCGTCCACTCGGCCCTGAATGAGTACCTGGTTGCGGTGGCATTGGTGGAGGCGGCCGGGCGAGCGGGTGCTGCTCGCCAACAGCGCACTTGCCCCAAGCGTCTGTTGCAGGCTATACGGGGGGATGGGGGATCTTTTGTCTGTTGTGTGTGTGTGGGGAGCGATAGCGTTGCGCTCAAGAGCCCCGGCGGGCCGAGTTCGATTCCCGCTCAGTGCCGGATTATCCCAGTAGCACAAGTAGCTACTACTACACGTGTAGTAGTAGCTACAGCTACTACATATGTAGTAGTTGCTACTACTACACGTGTAGTAGTAGTAGCTACTACTACATATGTACATATGTAGTAGTAGCTACTACATATGTACATATATAGTAGCTACAGCTACTACATATGTAGTAGTAGCTACTACATATGTAGTTACTACTACATATGTAGCAGCTACTACTACATACGTAGTAGTACTACTACATATGTAGTAGAGCTACTACTAGTAGCTACTACTACATATGTAGTAGTAGCTACTAGTAGCTACTACTACATATGTAGTAGTACACATATATGTAGTCGTAGCTACTAGTAGCTACTGCTACATATGTAGTAGTACACATATATGTAGTCGTAGCTACTAGTAGTAGCTACTAGTAGCTACGATTACATATGTAGTAGTAGCTACTAGTAGCTACGACTACATATGTAGTAGTAGCTACTAGTAGTAGTAGTAGCTACTAGTAGTAGTAGTAGCTACTAGTAGCTACTACGACTACATATGTAGTAGTAGCTACTAGTAGCTACTACTACATATGTAGTAGTACACATATATGTAGTAGTAGCTACTAGTAGTAGCTACTAGTAGCTACGACTACATATGTAGTAGCTACGGGCCCCGCACTTTCAAGGGCCCCTCGCTAAATGCTTTCAAGCTATCAATTCCGGTTCGGTGATTCTTCTGCACTTGCTCTATTACTATAGTACTATACCGCCTTCAACTTTTACCAACGACTGGGTGCTTAAGGTTAGCGATTCGTCGTATTATCTGGCTGTATAACAAATAAAACAAAAATTACAATTACTTTACCGCGCAAGTAAAAAAAATGTAGGTTTTAATATTTACGTCATGTTTTAAAAAAAAATTTGGGCCCCTTTATAACATTTGCTACAGGCCCCACACTCGCTCCATCCGGCACTGCTCCCGCTCACTGCCACCGACAACCGCTGACGGCGAATATCTGAACCGCTGCTGTGCCTTCCCTAGGTCGACTCAGCCTTGAAAAAAAAAGTACCTCCTGTGCGGTGTGCCGCTACTGTGGGGAGACAAAGGCGGCCGGGCGTGGTTGCCCGGCTCACCGTTTTCTAATTCGGCAAAAATTTTGACCGTGGGCGCCGGGGCACACATTGGCCTACTCTTCCTCGACTGACGTCACGGGATCTTTAACGTCCACGATGAGCGACGCGGACGGGCGCGTGGTCTCCTGTGGCCAGTACACAGTAGGCAGGATTGGGACATTCCACATTCCTATGGCGAGGTGGGACGGTGGGGGCGAGTCTATCCAAGGCACAAACAACCACCGTTGCCATCCCCGCAAAGTGGTAGCTATTTTATCGACCCCGGATGGATGACGACGACGATGACGACGATGATGATGAGTCAAGCACCCAAACCAGGATCTGAACTCGCAACCTTCCGGCTGCCGAGCCAACCCGTGCCATCGTGGGCCCTGACCCCGACTGTCGACGCTTTGTGTCCGGCCCCTTTACCACCCTTTGACAACATCGCCAGGCCCCGCGCGCGTGTCCCCCTGTCGCCGATCCTGTGACTGTGGGGAGGGGTCACGTGGGAAGAGGGGAGACAAAGGTGGACGTTGAGACCACGTGGGGACGGGATGGGTGGGTGGGTGGGGGTGTCAGGACGACATTTCCGAGATTTATTGATGGTTTCAGTACGGAACCACTGACACACCCACAGACACAATGCACGCACGTAAAGATACAGATCCCCCGTATAGCCTCCAACGAACTGTGGAGGCAAGTGGTTTTAATGAGCGCCCGTGAATCAAGGCCAACACGGCACAATGCAAGTGGGGTGGGCTGACCAACACCCACGCTCGACCGCCTTTAACTCCCAAGTGGCGATGTTTGGACAAGAAAATGGGTCTCTGCGCGAGTCTGTGGGTCTCAGCGTGAGTCTATGGATCTGTGTGTTAGTCTGTGGGCCTCTGTGTGAGTCTACGGGTCTCTATGCAGGTCTATGGGTATCTGCGTGAGAGTCTGTGGGTCTATGTGTGAGACTGTGGGTCTCTGAGAGAGTCTGTGGCTCTCTGAGCGAGTCTGTGGCTCTCTGAGTGAGTCTGTGGCTCTCTGAGTGAGTCTGTGGCTCTCTGTGTGAGTCTGTGTCTCTCTGAGCGAGTCTGTGGCTCTCTGAGCGAGTCTGTGGCTCTCTGAGCGAGTCTGTGGCTCTCTGTGTGAGTCTATGGCTCTCTGTGTGAGTCTGTGGCTCTCTGAGTGAGTCTATGGCTCTCTGAGTGAGTCTGAGTGAGTCTGTGGCTCTCTGAGTGAGTCTATGGCTCACTGAGTGAGTCTGAGCGAGTCTGTGGCTCTTTGAGTGAGTCTATGGCTCTCTGAGTGAGTCTGTGGCTCTCTGAGTGAGTTTGTGGCTCTCTGAGTGAGTCTATGGCTCTCTGAGTGAGTCTGAGTGAGTCTGTGGCTCTCTGAGCGAGTCTGTGGCTCTCTGAGCGAGTCTGTGGCTCTCTGAGCGAGTCTATGGCTCTCTGAGCGAGTCTGTGTCTCTCTGAGCGAGTCTGTGGCTCTCTGAGTGAGTCTATGGCTCTCTGAGTGAGTCTGAGTGAGTCTGTGACTCTCTGAGCGAGTCTAAGACCACACTCCGGGCGACTGCGCTGCTTCTTGCGTGCAGCAGCCGCGGGATCTGGCGGACGACGGTGAGACATCGATGTCTCGACCGCCCGCGTTCCGTCAGTCGCACCGCTCCACGCCGTCGTCTTGTTTGACGCGTGGCGCACCGACGCGGCGCCGCCGTGCGGGTCACACGTGCGCGTCCCGTCTGATTTACAGGTGTCCATGGCAGTGATGGAACCGGCGCCCTGGTGCTACAGCCCTGAAATGCTGCTCAACTACCCAGGTAATGATCAGTCACGCACGCACACACACACACACCACGTGTAGCCTGTAGGAAGGAGCACCTATGAAGGCCCGGCACGGCACACGAAAGGGGTGGGTGGCCAGCACCACGCCCGGCCGCCTTTGTCTCACCGATGTTTACGCACCGCTCAAGGTACTAATTTATTGCTGAAGTCGACCCAGGCGAGGCCCAGGATCGGTTCAGATAATCGCCACTCTGTGTGTCTATGTAGGTTGAACTTCTTTTGCACCGTACGTAGCCAACCGTGTTAATCTTAGGTGGCCGTGAGTGGGTCGCCGGGTTCCTGCGTGCGTAGCTGTCTGCCATTGCGTTTTTTGCAACAGGGCACGATCCGTAATATTATATTACGATGCGTAATATAATTTGATAATATATCATATAATACTACATATATTATAATAAAATATCATATTATGTTATTATAATAATATATTATTATTGTAATAATATATTATTATTAGGTTGTTGGGGGTCGCCTGCGTCGCCCCCCACCAACCTAGTATTCATCACAGAAAGAAAGATAAAGTTGTGCACTTACCAACGTAACGGAACGTCTGTCCCTGCGACTTGTTGATTGTGAAAGCGTACGCGGAGAGAAATGGGAAATTGTCGTCGTCGCAAAACAAATGGCAAAGTCGTGTCGGTGGGGGCCAAGTGGATTCTGGGAATCAACACCCAATCGCCTCGTTCTCTCTCTCTCAAGCGTTCATCGTATTCGTCATAGACAGATAGAGAAAGCTGTTTATATATAAATATCATTTTACATCTGGAAGACTTCATTGAAAACGACATTTCGTGTGAATTTTCTGTCGTCGTTAAGTAGATGATGGCCTTGCCGGGGGTTCGGTTCGATGCGGACTTTCACCTGATTGGGATTGCGGGATCGAGATAAGGCGACGTAAGCTGCTGGCCGTGCGAGAAGACCGCCGTCTGCAGATCGATACCAACGTAATCGAGCGTCTGTCCCTGCGCCTCCATCGTTCATGCAGGGTGCGCGTGTAGGTTTGCAGTGCCCCCTGCATGAAAACGACGGAGCGTCCATCATATTCGTATCACAGAGAAAGTTTGGCGTTTATTCATTATTATAATATTATATTAGGATCCGTAATAATAATATTACGATCCGTAATATTGTTCTCGCGATAATTTCCCATGGATTGGCAACACAAAAATTCAAAGACCCCTCTCAGTTTCATTCTCACAGGGCTCCTACTCTGAAATACGCCTTTTTTTAGTACTTAATGAAATACGCATTGCGGGACGTTCTTTTAAAATCATTCTCTGGGGTTTAAGGAACATTTCCGGTGACACAATTGCATTGACAGGAGCAGCAGTTGTAAAAGTTCGAGCAATTTTAAATGAACCGTGGTCAGTCCTTCGCGTTGGTTGCTCCTACCTCTTCGGCGTCGCTATTTTTATTTTTTTATTTTACGTCTTCTTCTGCCATTTCAACTTCGACGCTTCTTCGGTACACGGAAAATCCCGTGCAGCCAGTTCACCCGGCTAGTTTCCGGTGTGCTGGAGAGTAAAACCCACGGCATCTACAATTGTAACAACGTTCACAATTGTGAGTTTACTCTCCAACACACAACCGGTGTGCTGAACGAGGAACTAATTTGCACGTCAGATTAACTCATAGCCTTTCGCGACCAATGTCATCCATAATATATATATTTTTTGGGATAGATCGCGTAGATATAAATGGCGTTAAACCCACCACCACCCGACACAGGCAATTAGTAAGGTTTGTCACGTAAACAGAACACGTCGATTCGTTACCAGTACAGCACACCGGTCTGTTGGAGAGCAAATCCACAACATTTATAATTGGCATTTTCTGTTTACGTGACAAACCTTACTAATTTGCTGTGATGGTTGCGGGTTTAACGACACCTTTATATCCACGCGATCCGACCCATAAAACCTCTCACGGATTATTGCCATATTTCGTGTACGTCACACACCTTACTAATTTGCTGTGTCGGGTGGTGGCGGGTTTAACGACACGCATTCATATTGGTCGCGATAGCTTGACCGCGTGTTCAAACGACCCTTCTTCCTCCTCTGGCCCACTCCCGCCCTCCCTCTTCCCCACCACCGCCGCCACCACCACCACCACCAGACTACTCCGTCATCGACGTGCGGTTCTTCTACAAGGGCGCGCTGGTGAGCGAGCAGTGGGCGTCGCGGCTTTGCCGCGTGGGGCACCGCGCCCCGACGGTGCACGACCCCAGCGTGTACGGCCCCAGCGAGGCCACGCAGCTCCTCTTCCCGCCGCCGGCGTCCGCGCTCGCCGCTCCCGGCGACGCCAGGCAGCGGGCCCACACGGAGACTCTGCTCGCCAACGTGGAGCGTGGCGTGCTGCTGAGCGTGACGAGCGAAGGGCTCTTCGCCCAGCGCCTCTGCCGGGCGCACGTCTTCTGGTCGGGCCCCTGCGCCGAGACGCCGCCCGGAGCCCCCAACAAGATGGAGAGGGGCCCCCCCGTGCAGCTGTTCAACACGCGGCAGTTCATGAAAGGTGCGAGCGCGAGCGCGTGCGAGCGACGGACGCCACCGGGGGGGAGTTGGAAGCAGTCGCCCTCCCTGCGACGGTCCCCGAGGAGCGACGCTCACGACAGCGAGCGGAGCGCCGGGCGGATACAATTGCGGCGAGTTGGCACAGTGGGGGGCTGCAGCTCTGTGCGTCTGCCGGTGATCTCTGTCGGCCGACCCGTGGCGCCTGCTGGGTCTGTGCCCAGACCTCCTGTCGGCGAGGCCTCCGACGCTTCACGTGGCCTGAAAGCGCACCTGGCCTGGCACAGGCGCCGTGGTCACGTCACCGTCACTTAGTGGCGAATGGTGGTTGTCATTGGGTGTGATGTCTGTTTGTGTGGGCGATGTAGGCGATGGGTGGGTGGGTGATGCGTGTGTGTGTTAGTGCGTGGGCGCTGTGTGTATGTGTAGGTGACGTGGGCAATGTGTGTGTGTGGGTGGGTGGCTGATGTGTATAGGCGATGTGTGTGGGTGGGTGGTGTGTGTGTCTGCGTGGGGGCAATGTGTGGGTGGGTGGGTGAGTGGGTGATGTGTGTGGGTGGTGTGTGTGTCTGCGTGGGGGCAATGTGTGGGTGGGTGAGTGGGTGATGTGCATGGGTGGCACTGGTGTGTGTGCGGAGCGGGTGGGTGACGCGTGCGTGCCAGCAGCTTGTCAATTTGTAACTGAACGTGTGGAGGTGCATCAGATGAAACGGCCTAACGGGGGGGGGCTCGGTTGGTGGATCACGGCAGAGCTGGCGTGCGTGGCCGTTACGGCGTGTGGCCGGGCTGTGTCTTCCCCCGTGTTGCGTTGTTGTTGCCGCTGCTGCTTGTGTTGTTGCCCTGGAGACCGCGAGATCGCCCATCAGGGCCGCCGCCCTCATGGCGTGCTTAGAATTCCGCTGCACCAACAACCATGGCAGGACACCTGACGCACAAATGGAAATCAAAGACTGGAAATCAAAGACTCTCCAGGAGTAGTCGTCGCGCCCAGAAGCAGGCGGTGCGACGCGTAGCCACGCAATGGCCCCCCGATCCGCAAAAATACGCAGTAGGAGCCATCGTCGTTGGGGGCATCGTCGCCGGGGGCATTGTCGCTGGGGGCATCGTCGCTGGGGGCATCGTCGCAGCCATCAACACCTCTGCTCGCTCCCGGGGCACCGTTGTCTGTGCTCGACCACCCGAATGTGAAATTGTTGCCGAATGTGAAATTGTTGCCGTTTGCTCTGCGTATCGCACATCAGGCGTACGAAGCAGAGAGAGAGAGAGAGTTGTTGTTGTTGTTGTTTGCTCTTGTTGCCAGAAATGAATCAGTACGTGACCTGGCACGGTCCGTCACCGCAGTTCGTCACCACTATCTGCTTCGGCGAGGAATTCCCCGACATGGACGGCGCTAAGAAATACGTCACCGTGCAGGTGAGCGCGTGGTGTGGCGTGGTGAGGCGTGGTGTGGCGTGGTGTGGCGTGGTGAGGCGTGGTGTGGCGTGGTGAGGCGTGGTGAGGCGTGGTGAGGCGTGGTGAGGCGCGGTGAGGCGTGGTGAGGCGTGGTGTGGCGTGGTGAGGCGTGGTGTGGCGTGGTGAGGCGTGGTGAGGCGTGGTGTGGCGTGGTGAGGCGTGGTGTGGCGTGGTGAGGCGTGGTGAGGCGCGGTGAGGCGTGGTGAGGCTGGGATTGTTTACCCAGGGGAGCCTTGTCGAATCCCCGCTCTCGTCTTCGCGAGGCTCCTGCCCGACTCTGAACTCCCACGGTGGATGGGAGCCGATCGTTGCCCTGCGTGAGTTACACCTGGGTCACAGTGCCGGATTATCCTAGTAGCAACCGTAGCTACACATGCTACGGGCCCCGCACTTCCAAGGGCCCCGCACTTTCAAGGGCCCCGCGCTAAATGCTTTCAAGCTATCAATTCCGGTATCAATGATTCTTCTGCACTTGCTCTATTACTATAGTACTATACTGCCTTCAACTTTTACGAACGACTGGGTGCTTAAGATTAGCGATTTGTCGTATTATCTGGCTGTATGGCAAATGAAAATGAATAAATTACTTTACTACGCAAGTAAAAAATGTGTGTTTTAATATTTAAGGGTTTTTTTTTTAATTTAGGGCCCCTTTATAACATTTGCTAAAGGCCCCGCACTAGCTTAATCCGGCACTGCTGGGTCGGGTATCAAACAACAACAACAAAACACAACACGTGTACTGTTCACGTGTCATCACCCCGACTGACACCAATGCCCTCGGCCCCACCCCTCAGCCCCACCTCTCCCATCAGCCTCTCCCTCCACGTTCCACTAGAACTGGTTACCGCTTTGCCACGTTCCACTTGAACTGGTTACCGCTTTGCCACGTTCCACTAGAACTGGTTACCGCTTTGCCACGTTCCACTTGAACTGGTTACCGCTTTGCCACGTTCCACTTGAACTGGTTACCGCTTTGCCACGTTCCACTAGAACTGGTTACCGCTTTGTCACGTTCCACTTGAACTGGTTACCGCTTTGCCACGTTCCACTTGAACTGGTTACCACTTTGCCACGTTCCACTAGAACTGGTTACTGCTTTGCCACGTTCCACTTGAACTGGTTACCACTTTGCCACGTTCCACTAGAACTGGTTACCGCTTTGCCACGTTCCACTAGAACTGGTTACCGCTTTGCCACGTTCCACTTGAACTGGTTACCGCTTTGCCACGTTCCACTAGAACTGGTTACCGCTTCGCCACGTTCCACTAGAACTGGTTACCGCTTTGCCATGTTCCACTGGAACTGGTTACCGCTTTGCCACGTTCCATTTGAACTGGTTACCACTTTGCCACGTTCCACTAGAACTGGTTACCGCTTTGCCACGTTCCACTAGAACTGGTTACCGCTTTGCCACGTTCCACTTGAACTGGTTACCGCTTTGCCACGTTCCACTAGAACTGGTTACCGCTTTGCCACGTTCCACTTGAACTGGTTACCGCTTTGCCACGTTCCACTAGAACTGGTTACCGCTTTGCCACGTTCTACTAGAAATGGTTACCGCTTTGCCACGTTCCACTAGAACTGGTTACCGCTTTGCCACGTTCCACTTGAACTGGTTACCGCTTCGCCACGTTCGGCCGGAACCGGTGACCGAGTATGATGCGTCATGGGCCCCAGGTGGAGGCACGCTTCGCGAGGCTTCTCTACGAGAAGGCCAAGGCAGAGGGCGCCTGCTCCCTGCGCGAGTTCGAGATCTCCGCTCCCAACAAGGAGGACGAGATCCTGGACATCATCAAGAGTCTGTGCGACAGCATCGCCATCTCCTCCTAGCGCCGGAGTCTCCTCTCTCGCCCTCCTGCTCCTCCCTCCCTCTTCCTCCTTCCTTCCATCATCCTCCCTCCCCCCTCCTTTCCTTCTCCCCTCCTCCCTCCATCATCCTCCAGCACCTGAACCGGTCCTGGGCCTCCCCTAGGTCGACTCGGCCTCAATAGAGTACCTGGTGCAATGTGTAAACATCGCCACTCGGGTAACAAAGGCGGCTCCCGGCGTGGTGCTGGCCACCCACCCCTCTCGTGGTGCCGTGCCAGCCTGCCTCATCGGTGCTATTCCGCTAACAGCACTTGCCCCAACAGTCTGTTAAAGGCTACACGCGCGATGGCGGCCCAGCTCTTGCGAAGGACGTCGCGGGGATCGTTAAACGTTGCCCGCGAAGTGACGCGCAGGGCTGTCGCCAGCCACGCGCCACCACCCGACACGGCCAACTAGTAAGGGTTGTCACGTCAACAGAACGTGGCCAATTCGTCACTAGTACAGCACTAGTGTATAGTGTATTATACTAGTACAGCACTAACCGCTGTGTTGGAGAGCCAAGCCACAACATTTACAATCTGAGTACGACCGGTTAGTGCTGTGCTAGTGACGAATTGGTCACGTTCTGTTTACGTGACGGCCTTTACTAGTTAGCTGTGTCGGGTGGTGGCGGGTTTAACGACACAACATTTATACATTTACGCAATCCAACCCAAAGAAACCCCCCCCCCCCCCCCTCTACTGTGGATGATATTGGTCGCGAAAGGCTCTACGTCTTAACAAAGTGGTTATACTGCCCTCTTGAAAGACCTCGTACACCTACCCCGCCATAGGAATGTGTAATTTCCATTTGGTCCAGGAAACTGCTTAAAATGTTTTTTTTTTTAATATAGAGCACGTGCTGTATGTGTAAACACGTGTCGTGAATTATAACTCAAGATACGTTCTTCAGTGCATGATGAACCGTCCACATCCTTACCGGCTTGTGATGATCATGGCTATTATCACCTGAGACTCATGATTTTATGATCGTGTAAATTATCGGATGATGATGATTTTAAATGTTTTGCTAAATTATTGAATTATGCTGATAGCGGTGATTTCTTTCGTGACTCTCAGCAGGCTCAGCCAGGTTTCACTTCCCTGTTTAAATAAAAACAAATTCACGTTGCGCGAGTCGATTACCGTTTTATGGTGCTGATGATTGATGGAATGATTGTATCGTGATCATACTAATAAACATTCCGATGATGCTGAAGATACTGATGATGGTCAAATTATTGCACGATAGTGATGATGTTGCTGTTGATGATTGAATTCTTGGATGAATATGATGATGATGATGATGATAAGTATGATTCTGATGTTTTAATCTTTGGATGATGATGCTGATAGTTGAGTTATTTTGCCGCTGATAATTATTACGACTGGGTGGGTGGCCACATCACCCACGCCCGGCCGCCTTTGTCTCCCCAGTAGGCCATGTTGATGCACCGCACCAATAACTAATTTGAGGCTGAGTCGACCTAGAGGATGCCCAGGAGCGGTTAAAATCGCCACGGTTATTGGTCGTGAGCGGGAAACGAACTCGGGTCGCTGGGTTCCTAGCGCAACGCACTAACCACTACGCTACCACTCCCCACGGGACATACCAAGACAAAGATCCCCCATATAGCCTTAGACTTGCGGCAAGTGCTGTTAGCGAGCACCTATGAAGGCCGACACGGCACAGGAGGGGGTGGGTTGCCAGCAACCACGCCCGGCCGCCTTTGTCTCCCCGAGTGGCGATGTTTACACACCGCACTAGGTACTCATTTGAGGCTGAGTCGACCTAGGGGAGGCCCACGACCGGTTCAGATAATCGTCACCGATGTTGGCCGTGAGCGGGAATCGAACCTGGGTCGTCAGGTTTGTAGCGCTAACCGCTACACTACCGCTCCCCACAACACGCATACAGACACACACAAACACTACGAATAGATTCACCCTTTGATCTTTGCGCAGCTTGCAGAAATAAATAAAACCACAAACGAAATATCCACGTTACTGGGTGACGCTGCTGCTGCTGCTGCAAAAGTTTCGCACAACAAATAAATCAACCCAACACTCTCCGTGCCAGAGACACCACCACATGTGTGTGGCCTTCATGAACAAAAAACCCCTCAAGTGACATTTTGGGCAATGTCACGTTGCTATATATAAAAAAGGAGCCGTAAGTCCACGTTCTTCATTGCAAGGCCCACGGGCAACTGGTGGCCTCCTGGGGCCTTTAGCGCAGCGAGTGCCGGATGAAGCGAGTGCGGGGCCTGGAGCAAATGTTGTAAAGGGGCCCTAAATTTTAATACAACCAAACACGTCAATATTAAAACACACATTTTTAACTTGCGTAGTAAAGTAAATGTATTTTTTGCATTTGCTATACAGCCAGATAATACGAACAAATCGCTAACCTTAAACACCCAGTCGTTCGTAAAAGCTGAAGGCGGTATAGTACTATAGTAATAGAGCAAGTGCAGAATCACTGAACCGGAATTGATCGCTTGAAAGCATTTAGCGCGGGGCCCTACTACACATTTAACTACTACTAAACATGTAGCTACATGTGTAGTAGTAGCTACATGTGTAGTAGTAGCTACATATGTAGTAGCTACATGTGTAGTAGCTACATGTGTAGTAGTAGCTACATGTGTACTACATGTGTAGTAGCTACATGTGCAGCTACATGTGTAGTAGCTACATGTGTAGTAGCTACATATGTAGTAGCTACATGTGTAGTAGCTACTACATGTGCAGTAGCTACTACACATGTAGTAGCAGCATGTGTAGTAGCTACATGCGTAGTAGTAGCTACATGTGTAGTAGTAGCTACACGTGTAGTAGCTACTTGTGTAGTAGCCACATGTGTTGTAGCTACATGTGTAGTAGCTACATATGTAGTAGCTACATGTGTAGCTACATGTATAGTAGCTACATGTGTAGTAGTAGCTACATGTGTAGTAGTAGCTACATGTGTAGTAGCTACATGTGTAGTAGCAACTACACGTGTAGCTACATGTGTAGTAGTAACTACACGTGTAGCTACATGTGTAGTAGTTACACATGTAGTAGATGCATGTGTAGTAGCTACATGTGTAGTAGCTACATGTGTAGTAGTAGCTACATGTGTAGTAGCTACATGTGTAGTAGTAGCTACATGTAGTAGTAGCTACATGTGTAGTAGTAGCTACATGTGTAGTAGTAGCTACATGTGTAGTAGTAGCTACATGTGTAGTAGCTACATGTGTAGTAGCAGCTACATGTGTAGTAGCTACATGTGTAGTAGTAGCTACATGTAGTAGCTACATGTGTAGTAGCTACATGTGTAGCTGCATGTGTAGTAGCTACATATGTAGTAGTAGCTACATGTGTAGTAGCTACATGTGTAGTAGTAGCTATATGTAGTAGCTACTACTACACATGTAGTAGCTACATGTGTAGTAGTAGATACTACACATGTAGCTAGTACACAGGCAGCTACTACACACGTAGCTACTACACATGTAGCTACTACACATGTAGCTACTACTACACATGTAGCTACTACTACACATGTAGCTACTACTACATGTAGCTACTACTACACATGTAGCTACTACTACATGTAGCTACTACTACACATGTAGCTACTACACATGTAGCTACTAGTACACATGTAGCTACTACACATGTAGCTACTACATGTAGCTACTACTACACATGTAGCTACTACTACATGTAGTAAGTGTAGTAGCTACTACTACACGTGTAGCTACTACACGTGTAGTAGTAGCTACACGTGTAGTAGCTACATGTGTAGTAATAGCTACATGTGTAGTAGCTACATGTGTAGTAGCTACTACACATGTTGCTAATACCTATGTAGTAGCTACACATGTAGCTACTACATGTGTAGTAGCTACATGTGTAGTAGCTACATGTGTAGTATCTACTACACATGTAGCTACTACAGATGTAGCTACTACTACACATGTAGCTACTACTACTACATGTGTAGTAGTAGTAGCTATATGTGTAGTAGTAGTAGCTACATGTGTAGTAGTAGTAGCTACATGTGTAGTAGTAGTAGCTACATGTGTAGTAGCTACTACTACATGTGCAGTAGTAGCTACTACTACTACTACATGTGTAGTAGTAGTAGTAGCTACATGTGTAGTAGTAGTAGTAGCTACGTGTGTAGTAGTAGTAGCTACATGTGTAGTAGTAGCTACGTGTGTAGTAGTAGTAGCTACATGTGTAGTAGTAGTAGCTACATGTGTAGTAGTAGTAGCTACATGTGTAGTAGTAGTAGCTAAATGTGTAGTAGTAGTAGCTATATGTGTAGTAGTAGTAGCTACACGTGTAGTAGTAGTAGCTACATGTAGTAGTAGTAGCTACATGTGTAGTAGCTAAAACTAAAACTTGATTTGGCGCTTTCGTGACTGCAGGAATTACTCTTTGTTGTTTTCGGTAAAGTCACGTAGAAATAAGAAATAATAATAAAATTACATAATAGCATACGACGTTTCGATTGCAACGCAAGCAATCATCACCAGGTATAGAAGAGCTACATTTAAGAAAGAGAGAGGAAACACAGAACCGCAGAGATATATACAGACACCTAAGTAGAGGGAGTTAACACAGAGACACAAAGAGAGACACAACGCATGGAGCACAGAGAGACAGGGTCTCTGTGCCGAGGCCTTAGCATGTAGGGGAGACAAAGAGAGATGGAGAAGCACATCAAATCGAACAAGATTTAGTCAAATTTGAAAACAATATAATGCGTGTTCTCCCCGTGGTCGCGTGGATATTTCTCCGGGTCCCCCGGTATTTCCCTTCAAATTTAGAATAAACATCAACACACGTTTCGAGTATTTGGCTGCTATAAATGTCCACGCAACGCGTGTTGATGTTGATTCTAAATTTGGAGGGAAATACCGGAGGACCCGGAGAAATATCCACGCGACCACGGGGAGAACACGCATTATATTATTTTCAAATTTTACTAAATCTTGTTCGATTTGATGTGCTTCTCCGTCTCTC